GGAAGGGACACCACCCTGCTTCTGCTTGCCCTGTGCAGGAGGGACCTAGCCTGCTCAGCATCCTTCCTCCCTCCTGAGGAGCCCCTGGACCCGCCCTCTGGGGCTCTGGCCTCTCCCCTCTGCCCCTCTCTCGTCTCTGGGGCCTCTGGGGGGTCTCGGTGTGAGTGGTCCTCGTGGCCCTGAGTCTCTTGCAGCTCCTCCTCCTCTCGGTTTACCTCTGCACCTGCCAGGACCTGACCCTCAGGCCCAGAATGTTCCTTCTGCTGACAGCACTTCAGGTCTTGGCTGTAGGTAAGGGAAGAGTGGTTCCCTGGAGTCGCTGGGAAGCGCTTAGGGAAGGGCTCTGGAGAAGCAGGAGGCTGGGGAAGAGGTGGTCTGGGGCCCGTGGCTGAGGCGCATGCGCACTGCAGGCCCAAGTTCCCAGCTGTAGAGATACTGGGAAGGGGTGGGGATGGGGAGAGAGGCAGGGATGGGAGGAGAGAAAACGAATAAGGAATTGAGGGAAACTCCAGGTCCTATCAGCATGGGGGCCATGGGGCTCTCCTTGGTCCAGTCAGGGAAGAAATGGCTTGTTGTCCCAGCAGGTGGCGGAGGGTAGGGCTGGAGGTTCGGAGCAGGGTGTGTGGGGTCCCGGTGGAGGCGGGGCCACACTGGCGGGAAGGTTGGGGAGAGACAGGGAGCCCCTGGACTTGTTCAGGAAGGACTGATGGCGGGGAGTGAAGGGAGACTCACGGATGGGGGATGGAGTCAAGGGTTGTGGGTGCAGGAGGAGGTAGCCATGGAAACTACGGACACTGTGGAGGAGATGTGGGGGAGAGGTCAGAAAACGCCCTGGTTGTGTTGGGGCAATAATGGGGACAATGCTGGACACACTGGGTGGGGCAGAAAGAATGAGTGACTCAGGGATTAGGTCGAAGGCAGGGGCTTTGTCACTGGACAAGGCGCAGAGTCGAGAGAAGTGGGGAGCCTTTGTCCAGCAGTCTTCCCCTCCCCACCCCACCCCTGCCCACTCCTAGGCCTGGCAAGAAGCCAAGAGGATGACAACAAGATCATCGGTGGCTACACTTGCATCCAGAACTCGCAGCCGTGGCAGGCCGCGCTGCTGGCCGGTGCCGGGCGCCGCTTTTTCTGTGGAGGGATCCTGTTGTCCGACCGCTGGGTCATCACTGCGGCACACTGTGCCCGCCCGTGAGTGAGCCCCTGGCCCCTTCATGCCAAGTGCATTCAGAGTCGAGCACCCGAGCTCAGAACCCAGTTAGTAACCAGGTCCCAGCTTGGGGTCTAGAGAACACCCGAAAAGAAAGACAGCTCACAGTGTGGGTTCCAGCTGTGCACCTTGAGCTCGGATGAGAGTCTAAGCAGCTGGCATCCTGGAGCCTAAAGTGCAGCTCAGAAACCCAGAATAACCAGAGATCCGTAACCAGAGATCCGTCCGTGCACCGATCTCCAGTTCAAGACCAGTAACCCCTTCCAGATCAGTGACTGAACTCGGGGCTGTACCTGGAACCCAGAGCCCAGTTCAGAACTTACAGTCTAGACATAAATCCAGAACCCATCTTGCAGCTGGGATATACAAATATAAGAAGAGAGTGAGAAACTGGAGCTGGTTCCCATGAAAGGTTGAACCCACAGTCCTCTACAGTCATCTTTGAGCATCTAGAACCAGACTCCCCGGGCAGAGCAGCAGAGCACCTGGCTGCGGGGTGGGGGGATTGAGAGGTTAAGGGGAGGTCCATCCCCCAGCAACCCCCAGGAGTCCAGAACCCTGGGCTGTTCCCTCAGATCCAGGGGTCCAGGCCCCCAGCCCCCTTCTCTTAGACCTGAGTTTAAATACCAGAATGCAGCCCCAACCCATAAGAGCCCAGAGCCCCTCCCAGACCTCGGGCCAGAGCTAAGAACCCAGACCCCAGCCTTGAAGTCCAAGTGCAGGCTAAAGCTCATGTAGCCTACAAACCAGATGAATGCCATACACTGAAGTTCAGTCTAGCGCCTAGAGATAGAGCCCAGCGCCAAGTCTAGGGCACGATGCTCAGAGTGAGAGCCAGCCTCTGGAACCTGGTACCCGGTGGTCATCTAGAGCCCCTCTTGAGGTGGACGGCTCAGGCCAAATCTACAAGCAAAGGCCCAGGCTATAATCTGTCATTCAGAGCCTGGCCTAGATTCTAGGGTTCAGAGCAGCCTGGGATGCGGCTCAGTGGTAGAGAGCTTGACTAGCATGCACAAGAGCCTGGGTTCCATCCCTAGTACTGCAAACAAATAAAAAGTTCGGACCAATATTTAGAACCCTGAGCCCCAGCAGAGCATGGAGCTCAAGTCGTCGTTTAAAACTCAGTCGTGAACAAGAGCTTAACCCAGAACCCAGCACTCAAACCAGAGTTCAGAATCTGTTAGCTCAGGGAACATTGCTAAACATGGAACCCTCAGCCCGAAAGCTCGCATCAGAACCTGGAAAGTGTGCTGTCTTCAGAACTGATGCAGAATCCTGATCGTAGGCCAGAGTCAAAACCCAAGCTCTCAGGACCCCAGAGTCCGGGCTGGATTAGGATGAACCTGCTCCAGCATATCCATCCTGACTTAGAGCCCAGAGCCATGACCTGGGGTCTCATCAAGGCCTCAAAGCGTAGAACCCTGCACAGACCCTGGGACAGACCCGGGAACTCCAGTCACCACCTTAGACCCAAGCCAAGAGCCAGAGCACAGCTCAGGGGAAGAGGGACGGCAAGTGAGGATGGCCTAAAAGAGATGCCAGGGGCCGGGCAAGGTAGTGCACGCCTGTAATCCCAGCCACTCAGGAGGCTAAGGCAGGAGGATCACAGGTTCAAGGCCAGCCTCAGCAACTTAGTGAGGCCCTAAGCAACTTAGAGAGACCTTGTCTCAAAATAGAAAATAAAGGAGGCTGAGGATGAGGCTCGGTGGTTGAATGCACCTGGGTTCAGTGCCTGCTACCCAAAGAGAGAGGGCGGGGGAATGCCCAAACCAAGAAAAAGGATAAGAAAATGTTCACCTGCAGTTACAGGGGAGCAAGTTAGACTTAGGGAAATCGTCATCTGGGGCGGGTGGGCTGGAGGCAGGAGGAGGCCGAGGCCCACCGTAAGCTGCCTTACTCTGGGGGGGTCACGGGCCAGGACCCTTCAGGTGTCCCTGGGCAAGCACAACCTGAGGAGGTGGGAGGCTACCCAGCAGGTGCTGCGCGTGACGCGCCAGGTGCCACACCCTGGCTACCGCTCCCGGACCCACGAGAATGACCTGATGCTGCTGAGGCTGGAGAAGCCGGCACGGCTCGGGAGGGCAGTGAGGCCCATCCCCGTGGCCCAGTCCTGCGCCAGCCCTGGGACTTCCTGCCTTGTGTCAGGCTGGGGCACCATCTCCAGCCCCGTGGGTAAGGACACCTGCGCCCTGGGAGGAGGACCAGGGCCTGGGCTCCCGGGCCTGAGGGAGGAAGGCTGGGCCCGGAGCCCGGTCTTACTGGGTCTTCCTGCTCGATGCCCGCAGTCAGGTACCCCACGGTGCTGCAGTGCGTGAACGTGGACATCTCCTCAGACCAGCAGTGCCGGAAGGCCTATCCCGGAGCCATCACCTCGGGCATGGTGTGTGC